AAGTGAATCAAACAAGAGAGTTAACTCTAATCTGAGCATATTGCCATGGTAATGTGCTCCAGAGCAGATTATGTTGGAGATAAGAGATCAGCACTCACAAACTCACCTCCTGCTGACCAATCAGTTCACTTGTTTCATCATTCCCAAAAGATTTCCTGAACCTCTGTGAGCTAACGTTAGAGTCTAAAGTTATAGAAACAATCTAAAGTATTTGTCTTTATGTGACGAGAACCAACAAGAAATATTCCTCCAATAGCTGCAACCAAGTTTAAAAAACTTTAATTGGCGTAGAAGCCTTGAAATAGCAATATGACCCAAAAACAAGGCAAATCTGACCTTTGCTACTTGTCGATCTTGCAAAAATCTGTATGTCAGCCTCCTAGTTGGAATTTTGCTCTAATATTTATTCCTTAGTTGTGCTCAGACTATCCAACACCACCTGGGCTGCCGCTGAAAGAAGCGAGTTGAAACTGTCTCACACACCACATGAATGTTTTCATCGCAGGAACATATTCATTTGTAGTTTAGTGTCTAAGTCAGATCAGAATACCCAGTTGTAATCTTAATGATGGGTTTGTAATTAACTGAAACAGTTTCCAGTCATACAGGCCACTCATAGCCTCCTTCTCTGCTGCATTGTCATATAGGCTCCTAGGAAACATGAGGGAGGGAAGAGGGATAATGAAGTACAGGTGAACTCAATCAAGGTGCTAACGAGGGGTGGGAAAAGGAAGGGGGCAACATGTGGAACCTGGCTTGAAAGTTAAACAGGAAGTAAAGTGAAAGATGCTGCAGCCACAGACGGGGAAACCAATAAATCAAACAGACGTGGAAAACATTGAGGAACACGGAGTTCCTGAATGCCTCCACTTGCAGGGCACGAGTGCTCACTCAGAGGTTTCATGAGCTTGTCTCGTGAATTTTATTCTGTTGCCTTTATAGTTGCGGCAACGTAACCCGCCTAGGGGATTTTTAAAGACGCTTGACAGCATTGCACTCTTCTTTTCACTCTGGTTTTGGTCTTCAGTAACTGTTGAACAAATGGACTGGTACTTTTTTCCTGAACCTTTCTGCTCTTACTGCGCACTTAAAGCACTTTTACACTGCAAACCAGATTCACGCATTCTAAAAGCATACTTTTCTGCCACTAAACATTTTACCTGTCATCGACACACTCATACATCACTGAATGGTTCAGTATATAGTCCAAGGACATTCGTGACTTTCAAATCAGAGGAGCCGAGGATAAAAAAAATAACGTGCCACCCTCCACCTCCAGGAGCCACAGGCACCTGCTTTTGCTACAGATGCAAAATTAGTCTAAAGAGAGCAGTTATATAAAATCAAAACTTTCGTAATAGTGCACAGAATGGTGCTGAAACACTTCATATAGCTGAGAGGAACTGCAGAGTTTGAACATAATTATCTGTAGGTTTCCCCAGATAAACAGAGCCTTTGAAATTATAATCATCAAAGCCATTGTCGTAAAAAAGAAAAAGATTACTGCAGCTTGAAACTTTGGTTTGAGTGCCACAGATCTGGATTGGATTGGATCTGAAAGTTGAAAAGTATTGTGAGGCAAACTGACTGACTGACTGGTATATTGGCAATAACCAAAACCAATATTTGCAGCCTCATCTCCACCTGTAAAATTGCCCCTAATCCCTCACTATAACACTTCAGTGAATACATCTGTATGCTTATGAGGAAATTATTTCTGCTGCCTCATTGTTTCTTTACACAAACTGCTATTGAATAGCACATTTCATCTCAATTTGCCAGAGGAAACGTCACTCGACTGACATGAAGAGTGATTGAACGGTGCAGTGTTATTTACTGCAATAGCTGCTATTAACTCTTTTGTGCAGCGATCTCTGCAGATAATGAAACGTCTGTTAAGTGTTTTAGATTTTAGAGTGGCTCTTTAGTGCAAAAGCTGATGATTGATTTCTGCTTAGAGGCGAGCACACTACTAAGCGAATCAAGTTAAGTGCAGAGCATTCGTAATCTCCATTGATATATCTGTAAAAAAAAAAAAAACACAGTAATGAGAGCTGTTTGTTTAGGTCCTAACTTTACTGTGGGACTTAATGAACCCTTTGTCGCTGGACTGTAATAAAAGCTGCTGAGTTTAAACTGTATCAGCAGCAAAGTGAATATGATTTACACTCGACTCTCGGTGATAAAAGGTTGGATTCACTACCGTGTAGTAGCAATTTATTTCTGTATTCCCTCTATTTCATTTCGCCCACCGTCAGATAATCATTAGATCATCTTTTTTTCTTCTTCTCCTCTTAAAACTGTCACATTGGTAAGTAATGGATACTAATGGCGCCGTTTCCATCATTTTCTTCCTGGTTGAATCTCTGGTGTCTAATTATGTGGGTAAGCATCATTAGTCATTAGAGCATAACATCATCTTCTGTGTTGAGTTGAGCATACTTTATTTAATGTTAATGAATAAATGTTCTCAGAGGGCTCTGTCTGAATTGGATTTGCACACGTATGATTTTCTGCCTTATCAAGTTCGGCCGAATTAAATGAGTCATCTTGGCTGAGACCGGGTGGGTAAAATTGATGTTTTCACAAAAGTCAGCAGTATTTTTAAGTGTTTTTAAAGAATAAATGAAGAAGTCTTTGAGAATAAAAGTAACACAGAGTTTAGCATCTTTTGGTTTTGGCTCTCCTGCACTTTGGTTTCTAATATTGTCCTGTTTTCCCTAATGTGTCCTGACACAGTAGTCTGGAGTAATGGCTCTGAAATGCTACACTGAATCGATGCCTGGTGCCTTTTCCTCTCTTAGGTAATTTACTTGGTAATGAGAGACGGTGCGGAAGACTGTCTCTGTGTGCCCTGAGAAGATGTAATCTGTTTTCCCTATGATTCAGCTCAGTTAGAGAGACTTGGACTGCTAATTAATTAACTATGAAACACTGAAATAGGATTTCACTGAAGGGCTTAATTTGGGTAATCGCTGCCCCTCACCTTTCAGTTGCTTTGGTGTATGTTACTTGAACTTTGTAATGGTCACAAAAGCAGATTATGTCATGTCTGGAATGAAAACCATCGTACGTACGCGTGTGTGTAGGAAGCCATAAGGTGTGCATGTGTGGACGCGTGGGGCTTATATTCCCCGTTGTCCATAAAGCAATTTGTATCAATCAGTGTTGATCTAAATGACCCATCGTGTCAACAGCAAACCTGCGTGAGAGTGGTTTTCAGTGCTAGAGATAAGGGCAAAAAAGCCATTTTGTCTATCATAAAGGAAGTATTGTCTGGATATTGATGTCATTTATTACTTGACAAGGGTGGCTGGTGGGAAAAAGGGGTAAAGCACAGCCCTAATGCACTGAGAAGATTGAGAACGAGGATAGCCATGATGGAAAAATCAATTAACCTTGGCCTGAAAGTGAACTGCTTGATCTTTCAGCACGATTTTATTTGTTGACAAATATACCATCTGCTGTTTTGTAGATAAGGGGCTCGACACTCTGTGTGCGCTTAGGTGTGTGTGTTCAATTTGGCCTTGGACAGAGCGTCCCAAGCATGCATACAGATAACCACTTAAAAAAAATATATACATATGTGTGTGTATATATATATACATACGTATGGATATATGTGCAGAAAATTTGCACATGAAAAATCAGTCAGTGGGAGAATATGCATGTAGCAGGTCTCCTGCAGAAGCTGCATAGTATTTCTGTACTGGCTGTTTTTTAGAGTATGCTTTGCACATATAAATTCATATAATTTTTTACACAATTTTTATTTATACCGGGTTTTGTAAATTAATCAAGAAGGAAAATATATGATGCACTGCAGATTTCACGACTTCTCTGCAATGTGGGGTTTCCATTGTGGCTCCAGTAATAGACACGTTGGTCAGATGCTTTTGTTTTGTAAAATAGGATACTGGATGGATAATAAGCACATTTCGTATGGGCGCCAACCTCTGCTATTTATTTTACCTCTTATTTTAATTAAAGATAACGACTTAAATTATTGTTTTGCCTTAATTGGTTCCACCCTTTTCTCTTCCAAGTATTTGACCTGATGCGAAACAATGCCATGCCCAGATATCAGACACATGTTTACATCAGAGCCAAACCTGTGGCACTCGAGTTTGAGGAGTGCTCCTTCAACACGCAGCAGAATCCATAAACATCCTCCCTCCTCTGCTCTAATAACCACTTCCTCAGCTTGAACACTCGCTCAAAGTGACTAAGAAATCAGGCGATAGCAGGAAGCCAGACGCAGCTGAAGAGGGGGGGGGCATATTCAGAAGGCTTAACCCAGCTTATTTTTGGCATCCTCTTCTCGATATCCTTCTAAGTTATTTGATTTTTCTTACTCACAGCAATAAAAATATGCTGAATATACAGAATCAAGGTTTTTCACAATCAATTTTCACTATAAAAATGGTTCTTTTTAAAAGATTTAACTATTAATAACTAATAATACAAGTAATGCCTTAAATATCTGCAAGGATTTAATATTGAATAAGCTGCTACACCATTATTGGACATATTTCTTCATTTTTTAAATTATGATCAATTTTTTTCTTGTTGGCAAATATTTATATATTTTGGATTTTATCGCTTTCCCCTTATTCTCTCTCACAGTGCAAAACATAATTATCACACAGTTCCTTTGTCTCTGTATATGACTTTTCAGACACTAATCTTCCAGTAAAAGCTTGCATCCTCATATCAGCATCGAGTCAAGTTATCATGCAGTACTTTCTGTACATAATTTGTATTTGCACAGCTAATCCTCGGCTTTACGTCGTTTTAATTACTAGGCAAAATGTTTTAGAAGAATGATTCAAGCCTCATTTAATCCTCTTTTAGATTTTGAGGTTATTTTTCTTTCACGGATCACTTCCCTGGCCTGAAACTCACTTCCTGTGAGGAAACTGCAAACATCTCGTAGGTGAAAATCCAGTCGTGGCCTCTACTGCATGGCTGAACGCGTGATATCTTTTCTGTTTCTGCAGGTTTTGGGATGACGACACCTGTGACAATTGCAGGCAAAGTTTTCCTGATCTTTTACGGGCTTCTGGGCTGTGCCGGAACCATCCTTTTCTTTAACCTCTTCCTGGAGCGCATCATCACACTGCTGGCTGTGGTGATGAAGGCTGTGAGGGAGAGACGAATCAGGAACAGCGGCCTACTCCCACCAGGCATCCGCCATGACTTCTCAGCCTACTCCCTGCCAGGATGGAAGCCCTCGGTGTATCACGTGATGCTGATACTTGGCCTGTCAGCCATCACCATCTCCTGCTGTGCATCAGCCATGTACACGCCCGTTGAGGGCTGGGCTTACTTAGACTCTCTCTACTTCTGCTTTGTCACCTTCAGCACCATTGGCTTTGGGGACTTTGTCAGCAGCCAGAGCGCGGCTTACGAATACCAAAGCCTTTACAGGGTGGCCAACTTCTTTTTCATGCTAATGGGTGTGTGCTGCATCTACTCGCTATTCAATGTTATTTCTATTGTCATCAAGCAGGTGCTCAATTGGATGCTGGAGAAAATGAGCTGCCTGTTTTGCCAGCGCTGCAATAACGCTAATGCTTTCCTGGGCAGACGCAATGCCATCCGCCCGGGTTCCAAAGGTCGCCAGCGTCGGTTTGGTCAGCCGCCCGACTCAGACGGACCTTGTGACAGTGACGCAGAGGGCCGCAGATTATCGGGGGAGATGATCTCCATGAAAGACCTGGCAGCCTCTAGCAAAGTGTCGCTGGCCATCATGCAGAAGCAGCTGTCTGAGTCTGCCAACGGATATCCCAGGACAGTATGCGGCAGCTCACGCCATAATGGTTTCTCTGGGGGGGTTGGTGCTCTGGGTATCATGAACAACAGACTGGCAGAGACAAGTAACTCCAGGTAGAGGGTGTGGGGGGCACTTTACACTCGTACTGTAATAAGAACCCAGAGGTTGATCGCCATATAAAAACACAAAAAGTTTTGTCTGAGGTTTTTTTTTTTCTCGAAAGGGATTGCCAGTGTAATATCGACATGCATGATACATATGATTTTTTTAAAAATACTTTTGTTTGGCCTGTGATAATACAGGTATGATAATAATGGTGATGATTTTAATGATGATTTGGTGATGATGGTGGTGGTGATGGTATGAAGAGAGAAGCACAGAGTCATCAATAGAAAACATAAACTGACCTGGAAGCGTGGGAACCAACAATCGCCCATTGACCTCAGTCCCAACCCAGAACAAACTGAGTCTCAGACAAAGTCTCTCATACATCAGTGTTATTCTGCAGAGGACACAGTCTGCTAGACTCGCTCTATCCTATCAGACTTATACAACTTTAATGACGTGCTGTAAAGTAGTCAAGGGAAACGTTCAGCACAGTATTTACTGTTTGAGCTTTTGCCAGTTTATTTAAATGTGCGTACTGAATGTTGATGTAAAAGGAGCGTAATCGCCGAATGATATAGCACATACTGATCTATGCATTATATGTTTCTCATGCATTTTTTTGCACCATTCCTTTGATTGCGCAGAGCCCCCCCCCCCCCACTTGTTTTTCTCATCTATCCTCAGGTGATTGATTTCATTTTTGTTCCTCTTGCATTGCTCAACATGGAGAAAAAGAAAAGAGTTGAAGAATGAAAATTCATTTCTGGAAGAAAAAAAAAAGGAACTGGTCCTCTTATCAGCTAAGAACATGCTTCAGCGGCCAAAGACTTTGACTAAAAGGGTAAAAGAGGGCACCTTCCCAACTTCGTCTCTCTCCTCTTTTTTTTTTTTTTTTTAAAGCTTACAGCTGTCTGCGAAGGGAAGTAAACGATAAAGCTTTTCTAATTGTTCGTCCACTGCAGCATGCAGACATGTATTTGGAGAGCTGAATAAATAAGAAACAGCTTTAAGGATTTATAAGGTATGTATGTATAAGAAAGTGGAAGGAGTTTGACAAGCAAATAAATTGCATGTGGCTTTATTCCATGGGCACATTATGTTAAATGATGCTGACTGAGCACGGCCGGGTCAGTCGTAGTCGCTAGACTGAAAACTGATTCATCATTGTAAGGATTTGTTTTCACTGATGGATGCTTTTTTTTTCTTTTTTGTGCATTTTGAGTGAAAAAAAAGGAAGAAGAAGAAGAAGAAGGCCTAAAGTCCTGCAAAGATTGATTTTTTGTCTTGAGTTCAGCATAAATGTGCAGCCAAGGTTTTATGGATGGAGGGTGTTTGCGGAGGATATGGTTGCCCTGTCAGGCTCACGATCAATGTCCCTGTTGCCGGCAACTATCTATTCCGAAGCGGCGGTGTGTGTGTGAGATTTAAAGCCACGTGATGGCGTTTGATGTTTGTAAACAGCGTGACAGAGGAGGAGAAATTGATAGTTAAACTGTCCGGGACACGTTGATGAAGAGGAGGGAAGCAGAGAGAAAAGAGGTGGCCAATGCAAATCGATGGTCTCTCTCAACCAATGGCTCAACTCTCCCATCTTCAGCATCTGATTGTCCCCCCCCCCCCCCCCCCCCCACACACACACACACACCCCACACACACCCCACACACACCCCACACACACCCTTGTCATCTCTGTATTCACTTAACGCACACTGCACCAGAACTCTCCTGCTTCCTTTTTACTTGCAGATTTCGGCTCTCTCTCCTCACGCCCATCACTTTTACACTGTGAATATGAGACATATATATGTATATCATTATGAAGCGCTTTTACAGTAAGGCGTGATTTAGATCTGGATCTTTCCTTCCATTGATTTTTATCATTCCTGTGCATAGATCTGAATAATTTGGTTTTACTCCCCAGTGTCACCAAGAGAAATAGAAAATGACTCAGGTAGTTAAATCTTCAGGCTCGTCTTAGTTTCTCCCGCATGCCATTATGGTGAAGCCATACAAGATAGCTGTATATAAAACTAGAGTACTCTTTAAAGTCTATTTTTCTACATATAGCTTTCGAAATGTCTACTCGTGGATGATTGAAAAAGTCTCACTGTCACATGTCTCTCACACAGTCGGTCAGCAGATTGACAGGTACAGCATCCAGAGTTTAACTACCCCTATGGAAAATGAGCATGTTAGAAAAAAAAACAAAACACAGATGCTTTTCCAGATGTTTGGCATTTTGTGAAATGCACATATTTACTTTTGTGTTTTGACAGAGTTTTAGATGAGATGATTGATGCCAAGCTCACACCGAGTGTTACCAGTGTGCTCATTTACCTCTCTGCAAGACAGCAATTGCATGTAATTCCCAAAATGTCAGTTTATTATTTTAACAGTTCCCAACAAGGCAGCTCATGAACAAGGAAGCGAGCAGTGTGTAGGTGATGCGGCACATGCAGCAGCAGAATCCTCATGATTTGTGCACATATTTCTGATAGTAATAGAAAAGTAAGTATTAAACCCTGGGACATTTGAGCAGGAGCATGGGCATGTTGTAACAAATGATATACTGTAGTTTGAATTCAATGGTGTTACCCTGTTTTACAGTATGTCCAAGGGGAGAAGCACTGCTGCCACTTCTCTAGACTAATGTTTCCTAAATGATGTGTTAACCTTCATCTCCCCCCTGAGGCTTAAGGCTACAGTGGTAGAGGTTTCAGGAATGCTTCTATAGCTGTCAGCTGCGCTGTATCTTTAACCTTACTTTCAACAAGGATCATACGTGTTTGTATGCATTTGTGTATCCAAAGAAGAGTGTAAAGAACTGAGAACAGGAATCCAAGGACTATCATATGTTAAGCATAATCCCCCGAAAAGTTACGTGACTCAATATAATATCAATTAAAATGTAATTTCCTTAGGCGTGACACATCAGGCTGTTATAACACTAAATATATTACTTAGAGTAATGTTTGCTCATCTAAAAATGCATGCATGGCTTGAAATCAATTGCCTTACTTTAGTCCTTGCATATGACAAAGAGGTTCCTTATTGAAACAATTATAGTGTGTAGACCTTGTGTGTTGTACTATACTATCCTTTTGCATTTTGCAAAATTGATCTCCATTGATTGCAATGGTTTTAACTGCCCCGTTGTCCTCTGTATCTTCTGTAAGAGGAGACAGGTGGTCCTAAGATCTACTGTATGTTTGTATTTGTGAACAGCATAAAAGAGTCCTAAATGTGTCAGTTACTTTTCTTTGTATTGTAATATAGTCGTTCATGTTCACGTGAAACACGGGCTCGGACTAAAATGACGTAAGCACTATTTGTACATAATATTGACTTTGTAGGTTCTCAGTCATCCAGGTCATGGTAGTCTAAGGAGCATGAAAAAAACTGGACTCCTTTAAGGTTTCTGAAGATGTTTCGTCTGTCATCCAAGTGGCTTCTTCAGTTCTAACACCAAAAGGTTTTAGAACTGAAGGTAGAGAGTTAAAAGGATTTAAACCCTAGTTGAGGTTTTACCCTAAGAGAGTTTCTGACGCACTGTTGATTATGTGCATCATCACATGAGCCAAGGAGTGAAAAAGATGTGGGTCATTACCACAGGTTTTGGGTGAGACCATCGTGAGACCTTGCTACACCCCATCATGTGACTTATTGAAGTCAGCTGTTACAAGATGTGAGTGAGGGTTGAGGAGCCTGGGTAGAGACCTCAAGACTGCATTGTACCTCTGTTTAACGATGGGCATTCACCATGGACAAAGATAGCCCTTTTAAGGCATCAGTATACCCGCTGGAATAGTTGATTTTCTCCCCACTGCAGCCTCATCAAAACCAGAAGCCAAGACTTTGTGTGTTTTTTCCAGAAACTGTGAAGTTTCCAAACAGCTGCAAAATCTCCCTCTGTATATCTGTATGTCTCTGTGCTTCTGTGCTAGAATATTAACCCCTTAGCAGTCCTATTAGTCCCCTAAACCATCCAATGTCCCGTGGGCGGTACGTCCGACTGCTAACAGTTTAATAACATGGCAGTAAAAACCTGCATGATCAATCCAGCTGCAGCGGCTGCAGTGGAACGTGCCAGGTTACAAAAATCACGAGGTGCAGGACCATCCAAGATTATATCATGCGACACGTGATGTGACGTCAAAATTGGCGTGAGACACCCACAACACAGGCAACACTGTGAGCAGAATGGTCCCATTACTCCTCTTTTTACTCCAGACTTAATAGTGGTCAATGACCCTCCTAAGGGACACCACCCACTAGGGGTGGACTCTCCACCCTTTGGTTGTAGATCCAAAGAAGCCTCTTGGACGAGACGTGATACATTCTGACAAAACTTAAAGAAGTCCAGCTGCCTTCTGTTTTACAGCCAGATTTTATTCACTTCAGAAACAGTCAGGTTAATCGCTCCACCTAATTTCCAATCCAAGCAGATCTGGATTACACAGCGGTGACTCTCTATCAGCTTATCAGCAGTTAAAATCACCACTGAGATCATTTATTTTCTGTCAACACATACTGTACTGTATTCACATTCAAATATTTGCTAATCAGCGGCTATTTGAGTGTGAAATAGCTTAAGTAGAAAGCACCGCTTCAGTGGTCTTTACCAGTCCAATAATGAAAAACAGTTAGTTTGACATTAGAAGAAACTGGAAATGTTGTTAGCGTTGACCTTTAAAGCCGTCGATGGTGCTAATGGCATTATCATTTATTCAAGCAAATTTCTCTGTAATCACAGTATGATGCATAACACTTTGCTCTCTCCAGTTTCTGCTACGGAAGAGTGCACGAACTCTTTTGTATTTCAAGACTGTTAAAGATGCTCGTTTCAGGGGGAAAAACTGTATTATCATCAATTTGGCTGGAACACGCTGGAAATGGCTATTACCAGCGGGCAGGTAAACAGCCGAGCAGCTCAGTAACAGAATGATGTATTATTTGCTCAGCTTGGCTGCTTCTGATCTTTAACAAGAGTCCAATTGTTGGCTTTGATCCGGAGCATAATTTCCAGATTTACAAGACACATGTCCCTGTTAGTTTGTTTTTGTGTGTTTTTTTTTAGGAGGGGAGCTGATAATATGGAGCAACAAATGACATTCAGCTCTCACTTTAGAAGCTGCTTTATCTGTCTGTTATTTATGTTGATCCTTAACTCGACTCATGTGAACACGACGCTGCACCTTGCTGTGTCTCATGTTGCTTGCAATGTAGTGTAACATCAAGTTAATGTATGCAAATGAATTCTGTTTGCAAGTTGCACATTTATACCAATGATTGTACTTTTATATTTATTAAAAGTAAAACCTATATGAAACGAGAAGGGGTTCCATTAAACACTGATATTTACTGACATGCCTCTGACTGATTGATTTATTATCATGCTCTTCTAATCACTCCCAGCTCAGTACCACTGGCGATTGTAACACTTAATCCATTACATATGGTATTCATTACACTGACTTTCACTCAGGCTCAAGTAATGGAATTTTAGGCATTCCTGTTCTGTTTATCACCACAAGATATTTCCAATTACAGACTTGAATCTCGGTGCCAATGTGACATGACAGCAGCATAAATTTCACTAATGACTGAAAGCCTCTTTGAGTCTTGTCTCAGTCAACTTGGCAGACTGCAGCACAGACTCCAGATATTTGCTGAGTCCTGTGATTAAATATTATAAGTCAGAAGCCTCATAAAACTAAAGCAAGCCTTTTTTATGTACACACATTTTTACCTTAAGATAGAGTCAAGTTAACTTTCATAAAGAAAACCCACCAATATCATTTGTGTGTGTGTTTCATGCCTGTCAGCCTTGATTAATTTATGGGCGAGTGCTTGTTTCCAGTGTTCTTCTTAAGACTGAGGAAATCTTCCAGTTGACACCAGATTGTTGCACTTACCACTGTTAAATGTTTGACTCAGATTTCAACAATTGTCAATTTCACACCTTTTACTCTCTGTAGACTCTTCCCGGTCCATGGATTGCAACTGCAACTTTGGACTGCAGCTTTCTTTGTGGATTCACCTGAAGAATCTCCAGGTTATGCCCTGCATGCCCCCGTCTGCCAACCACCCCTCATCGCTTTCCTCATTCAGTTAAACTTTCTTTCTGTGTCACACATTTTGAGTCCAGATCCCTGGTGGTTTCCTGACACCGTTGAATCCCAAAAGGGAAACAAAAACTGTATGGAACAACACAAAGACAAGCAGGGAGTAAGGCAGGAGCAGAGCCAAGCCTAAACCAAAGCAAGTAGGAGAACTCATAATCCTTAATAGCTTAAAGCCATGCACGACTTGGAGGACTGCTATGGATGGCGGAGCTGAAAGCGAGACCTTTCAGAGGCTTGTGAAAAAGGGACAAAAAGGCTAACTAGGCAGTCAGGTGTGGAAGCACAACCTCAGAAGTGGAGTTCAGGGCCCAGTGAAGTCTAAAACCAAGCGCAGTCAGACAATACCTAGAATACAGTACACACAGTAGCTCTTTGGGCTATGGCGTCTTTAGAGATTCTGGTCTCTTAGATTCTAGCCAAGAGCATGTTGGTGACTGATTTTAAAGACCAACTTTCTGATGTGTAGTCAGTTGGAGGGCTGACCCT